ATGGGCCCAAGAGCATCTGGCTGCATCCTGGTGCTAGCATTTCAGAGGATGCCCCAAGATACCCAGGCACAACCATCTGGGCAGTGCACAAACCTGCAGCTTGGGGCCCGGTGACGTGGCATAGCGGCTAAAGTCCTCGCCTTGAACGTGCCGGGATCCCACAAGGGCGCCGGTTCTAATCCAGGTAGCTTCACTTCCCATCCAGCTCCCTGCTTGTGGCCCGGGAAAGCAGTCGAGGACAGCCCAAAGCCTTGGGACCTTGCACCCATGTGGGAGACCTGGAAGAGGCTCCTGGTTCCCGGCTTCGGATAGGCGCAGCACCGGCCATTGCAGTCACTTGGGGAGTGAATCATCAGATGAAAGATCTTGCTCTCTGTCTCTCCTCCTCTCTGTATATCTGACTTTGTAATAAAAATAAATCTTTAAAAAAAAAAACCCTGCAGCTTGTACTCTGGGAGAGGCCAGGTTCACCAAGACCCCAGACCCAATCCCCCTTCCCCCCTAACCCCCCCAGCATGGCTCACACAGATGCTCCAGCGCGTGCCAGCCGGCCACTGTGCCGCGGGATCCAAGGACCCCTACAGCCGGGAATTCTGGGCTAATGCTCAGCCTTGGCACGGTCTGCTCTCCCGCTGACCCCTCCCGTCCAGGTCGCTGTGACAGATGCTGGGAACATATGCCGTGAATTAATTCACTCCAGCTCGGCCACACAAGAGCAGTCGCCGCCTCTGTCTGCTCCTGCCACCCTTGCCTTCCGATTTCAACCTCGCCAAAAAAAAAAAAGGAAAGAAAATTAACCCCACCTTCACTCTCCCCGTTGTTTGCCAGGGGCTCTCTCTGGGAACCTGCAGCCTCACTGGACTCCCCAGTTCCTCAATTCCAAATAGCACACAGACATTCCCCGTAATGTCCTTTCTTAAGGGAAACTGGTCTCCACTTCCGCTAGGGGGCAGAACCTCCCTACCCTGCCACAGTCTTCCCATCAACACCTGCTGAATGGGTTTATGGAAACAGCAGGTGCATTCTGGGAGCTTCTGGGTGTCCGGATTTCTCATCCGCATGTGTCATGTAAGGCTTTTTAAAGATTAATTTATCATCTGACAGCCAGAATGACCTAAAGAAAGAGAGAATCTTTTATCCAATGGGTTTACGTCCCACATGGCCACAGCAGCAACCAGGGCTGGGCTAGGACAAAGCCAGTAACCAGCAACACCACCCAGGTCTCCCACAGCAGTGGCAGGGACCTAAGGATCCAGGCCGTCTGCTGCTGCTCTCCCAGGCACAGCAGTAGGGAGCTGGGCTGCAAACTGAGCATCCAGGACTCAAACCGGTCCCAATAAAGCCCCAATAAAGGATGCTGGTGTGCATAGCCTGCTGTGCCACCATGCCAGTCTAGCAAACTTCTGTGCAGGTGTGGATGGTATGTATTTTGGGCTGTGCAGACTGTCTCTAAGTGTTAAGCACACTGAACAGCTACACACATGCGGCATCACATGGGCCAGGCTGTGCTCCAGCAGCACTGTGAAACACTGTGGAAACACTGTGGGAACAAGCAGCTGCGTTGGGCCTTCGTGCTGCAGCCTGCCTGAGCCTGCTCAGGGCAAAACAAGTCAGCCTGCTGTTCCCTGGGGGACATGGGCGCCCCCACCCTGTTTCCCTCCCCTCAGCTGAACTAAGCAGCGGATCCCATGGGCTCCTCATGTTTTGCTCTACCAGCTTGTGAGCTTCCTGAGGTCAGGAACAGGCTCTGTTTGACCTTGAACTCTTGGAATCAGCATGGAGCTTGGTGGAGCTGCAAACACCCAGCCTGAGGTTGCTAAGAGCTTCCGGGTTAGTGGGGGACACAGGAGACAGATGGACTCCACATCCTCAAAACCGAGATAAAGTTCAACGACAGAAGGGAGAGAACGGGAGAAAATCAGTGTGACGTGCCTCCTACAAAGTCAGTTGCAACCTTCAGGAAAAGCAAGGGAGACGAGAAAAAAGTGAGTCGTTAATTAATCCCGACACCACAAAGCACTGAAAATAACAACAAACAAACCAATGCCATGGAAAAACAATTCAGCAGGCTCTTTTTTAAAAATTAAGATTTATTTATTTTTATTGGAAAGGCAGACATACAGAGAAAATGAGGCACAGAGAGATTTTCCTTCCACTTATTCACTCTCCAAATGGCCGCAACAGCTGGAGCTGAGCCAATCTGAAGCTAGGAGCCAGAGCTTCTTCCAGGTCTCCCATGCAGGTGCAGGGTTTCAAGGCTTTGGGCCGTCCTCGACTGCTTTCCCAGGCCACAAGCAGGGAGCTGGATGGGAAGTGGAACTGGGATATGAACTGGCGCCCATAAGGGATCCCAGTGCATGCAAGGTGAGAACTTTAGCCATTGGGCTATGACACTGGGCCTTCAGCAGGTTCTTAAACGTCAAGCATAAACGCACCGTTAAGACTTTGCCATTTCACACCTAGGAAATCCACCTGAAAGAAATGAAAATATCTGTCCAAATGGACAGGTGGAGAAATGCCCACTGCAGCAGCTCTGTGCATGATAGCCCCATACTGCAAACACACAAATGTCCATCCACTGGCTGGGGAAGAGGGAAATAGCATGTGTGTAGCCAGCTATGCAGTGGGACACTGGCCAGCAGGAAGAACTCATGCTAAGTGGCGTAACACACAGGGACTGGTGTTGTGGTGTGCGCCGTATCACAGCCCCTGCTGAAGTCCACTTCCCATCCAGTTCTCTGCTTATGCGCCTTGGCAGGTGACTTTGGGCATCCATTTTTAAAAATTATTTTTGCGTTATTTGAAAGGGTGGGGGAGAAAGGGGGTGAGGGTAGAGAGACACAGAGCACAAACTAGCTCTCCAATCTTCTGGTTCATTCTCCAAATATCTATAATATCCAGGGTTGGGCCAGGCTAAAGCCAGGAGCCCAGAACTCAATCCAGGTCTCCCACCTAAGTGGCAGGGACCAAGCACTCGAGTCAGTACTTGCTGCCTCCCAGTGTGCATTAGTAGGAAGCTGGATCTGAAGCAGAGAAGCCAGGATCAGAACCAGGCTCTTTAGGATGCCGCTGGTGCTGTCCCAAGTGGTGGCTAAACCACTGCACCAATGCCCGTGCCTGAACCAGGCATTTTACTTTGTCCATCTGCTCCTCCATTTCTGCAGGGTCTCGGACAGAGCCCAGCATGTGGCAGGTGCAGGAACAGGCCCAAGGTATCTATCAGAGCCCAGCCTGTGACCAGCCATCTTCTGCAGCTGCCCAACGTCAGGCACCCACAGGGACTGTCCAAACCTGTCCAGGGGCATGAGTCATCAGCAGTTGGGGAAGAATCAGTCAAGGGCCACAGGGAGGAAGCTGTGGCATGAGATGGACAGCCCTTGTGCCTGCGGAATGTCTCATTCCCCAGGCACTCTGCAGGTGACGCTTAAGCACTGGGTAAAGGATGAAGGCTGACAGGGCCTGCATCAGGACACAGGATAGGATAGGACCTGAGCCCATAATTTCTCTGCTTTTCCAGTCCCCCAGTTTCCTGAGCTCAGCGCCGCCCAGTGAGCTCTGCGGTCACCCCAGAGTCAAGGACAGAGGTCAGGTCTGAGGAACAGGGCAGCAGCAGCTGGCTTCTCTTAGAAAACTTCTAAGATGTCGCCTGTTTTACATTAGGTACCTTCCTGGGCTGCAGGCAGCAGACGTGGGGGACAAAAATCCATGTGTTCAGAATGCAGTGGGGTCAGCCAAGTTTGGATAAGTAGCTGGATAATCTTGGGCAATCTCTCGACCTTGCTGAGCCTCAGTTTGCTCGACTATAAAGTGGGGCTGACCACAGTCTGGGCGTCACTGGCTGGCTGTGAACTAGATGGCTCCTGGGTGTCGTTAGTAGTGTCCACACAGCGAGGGCTCAGGGGGGACGTTCATGCTCATGCTGCTGCTGCTGTGATCAGACAGGGCGTGGAGGCAGCCACCCCCGCCAAGCCACCTGCTCAGACTGGCTGGAGACCTCCAAGGTTGTCCAAGTCTCAGGGCAGCTGCATGTGCTGATAATGAAGAGGTTAGAAACAGCCTTTCTCCATCGGGTTTCAGGAGGATGGATGCAAGAAAAACCAGTCCGAATGAGACTTCTCCGCGGCCATGGGAATTAGTGTAAAGGGGCTACCTGGGCTCAAAGCCTGAGTCTAGAAGAGTGTATGTGTGTGCGTGTATGCGGGGGAATGAGACCCCAAAGCCAAGAAATCCCCCAGTTTATAATTAACAGATACATACTGGCTCTGTGCGCTGGAGAAGGGCACTGCAGTCACAGGAAAATAACCCCCCAGTGGGTTTTTGATGTGCTGAGCTGCTTTGTTTTTCTGAATTTTAATGAAGGGCTTTCCAGGCAGAGGGGAGGGAAGCACTCGGCTCTGGTGGCCGTGGCCAAGGAGCAGGGCCTCGGTGAGTGATCGGCCACAGGCCTTGTCTGAGACTGGGATGGAATGTCTAAGGGAGAAAGAAAACAACAACAAAAGCTGCCTCTGCTCGGGGAGAGCGGTGGGCTCTGGCTCAGAGTCCCCCAGGGTGAGCTGGGCTGCCTGGCGGAGCGGTGTCGAGGGCCAGCCCCTGAGAACCCATCAGGAGAAGGGCCCTATGGGAGGCTGCCAGCTTCTAACCAGAACCAGCCCAGGGGCCCCTGAAAGCTGTAGCAGAAGGGCATGGGCCGGCGTAGGCAGAAGAGGAAGGAGCAGGAGGCTCTGACGTGGCCCTGTCGCCCCCCGGCTATAGGACACTGGGATAGGAAGGAGAATGCAGCACAGGTTCATGGACATACCTGAAGAGCGCTGAGGATCATGGTCAGAAGGGCAGCCTCGCCTAGCCCTGCCTCCAGCCCAACACTGCCGGCAGGTGCACCTGTTCCTCCCCCTCCTGGGGCAAGGTGGGATGCTCAGGGCTGCCATCAGACTGTTCCAAGCTTCCCCTCCCGCCCTAGGATCTCTCGGGGAAGATGCTGCAAAGGAACAGAAGACTCGGCCACAGAATAAACCATTCATTGTGGAGGGATCCAATGGGGGTTCTACTGAAAATAAATATTTCTTTCTTACAAAATAGTCCATATAAAAATTCCAAGTTACTTTACTGACTGGCAAGCCTCTTTAGTCTTCAGCTTCTTGTATTTTGTGTTTGTTCTCACACCTAGAGCAGAGGCTGCAGGGTCAGGTGTGCCTGGACCCTCCTGCAGGGTCCTCCTTCTCCGCCTGCAGCTGCTCCCACTCAGTGAGGAGCTCAGAGGACACCTCGGTGTATAGATGGTCCCAGTCCCAGCCAACGTCATCCTGCCAAGAGGGTGTCACAGGGTAAGTCCAGCAAAGGCCCAGCCCCTCGCTGTGGCCAATCTGCACCCCCGTCTGTGCTGAGGGAGGCACGGGACAGCCCAGTAGGGGAGGGAGTGGTAGCGGGCTGGTCGGCATACCTCGCGGACTTCATGCTCTGGTGAGAGCACTTTGCTGAGGAGCTTCAGGTCGATCTCACCATCCTGTGAATGCGAGAAGCCAGGCTGGGCTCCCTGGGGGCTGTGCCCCCTGCGGAGGGCCGGTGTGTGCAGTAGGAGAGCTGCAGGGATGCCTTCATGCATGAGTTCAAACCACGAGGGAGCTATGTGGCTACTGGGAGACCGTGCAGGGCAAGATGGGAGCACAGAGCCATGGGGACGTGGGGACATGGGCAGAGGCATAAGCTGCCATGTGGTCTGTCAGCCATGGCAGCAACACTGGTGCAGATGTGTCAGGGATGGGGTGTGCCACTGGCGGCCTGGGGTCTCCCACAAATGCGTGTTGCCAGGCAGCCACCTGGGTCCATGTGTGTGACACTGAGACCCCATCCCGTCACTTACCAAGGTCTGAAAGGCCGAGTACTTCATGAGATCATTGTCCAGGTCGCGGTAGGTCATCACCCGGTTCACCTGAATGCTGAAGGGAACAGAGTGGGTGAGGAGCCCTAGCAGCTGAACTGGCCCCAGAGCATTGCAGGTGGCTGGGGACAGGCTGGAAACAACCCAAGTGGGAACAAAATGGATGCTCCCGCGTGGAGAGGCACATCATGGGGTGGTGGGGGCAGTGAGTACAAGCAGGGGCTGCTAAGGACATGCAACAGACAGGCAAGGGACAGGTCAGGGAGAGGCAGGGGGTTAATTCACATGTTTGCCGCCTCTTGCCGATTGCTCATTCCTAATCTGACCTACCTTGGAGGAGCTGCCACCTGCAAAACGAAGTCTTCTTCCTGGACTTCCTCCAGATCTGGAATAACTGGGATGTCTGCAATGAGATGAGCAAAGGCTTGCATGCTGTGACAGGGTTTCAGCTGCCTCATCCTTTCGCTGCCTGCAAGCCCTCAAACGCCCAGCCCTGGGGCTGGAGGTGGCAAGGACCGCTGGGGCTCTCCACCCAGGGCTGTGGCTCTGAAGTGGCAGTGTGCAGGAACACTGGCACAAGGCCTGCAAGGATTTCTAATGCCCACAGCTCCCCGTAGGCCCTGCTGGAGGACAGACTCCTGGACGGGGCTCCAGGATCTATAGTCTTCCTTAAGATCTTATATTGAAAGGCAGAAAGAAAAAGAGAGAGAGAGAGAGTGTGTGTGTGTGTGTGTATGTGAGAGAGAGAGAGAGAAAGAGAAATCTTGCATCTTCCAGTTCACTCCCCAAAATGCCACCAACAGTGAGGGCAGGCCAGGTCAAAACCAGGAGGCCAGAACTCATCTTGGGGTTTCCCACATGGGTGACAGGGACCCAAGTCCTCAAACCATCACCTGTTGCCTCCCTGAGCGCACATTAAAAGGGAGCTGGAGTCAAGGGTAGGGGTTGGGACTTGAACCAGGCACTCCCTCATGGATCTCATGGGCTTCCCAGGTGGACCATCTGAACTGGAGCGCTAAAGCCCTGCCTTCGCTTTCCCAGGATTCCTTGGGGAAGTGTCAGGTGATGGGCCTCTGCAGTAGGTCAATGCGAAGAAAGGAGAGGAGACCCTAGAGAGCGCTCAGGGATAGGCTTGCCTTAGAGGAGGGGAAGAGGGAAGCTGCTGAGAGAGGGCGTGAGGATGTGCAATGTCACCAAGTGAGTGTGTTGCCACAAGCACCACTTGCTCATGAGACAGGTGCGTCGGGAGCACAGAGCAGCTGCTAGCGCCCTTTACTTGCATGTCAAGGTTATCCTACACTGAACACTAGGAACCAAACCCTCCTGTCGGGGGAGCAAGGGTCTCCATTCATTAGGTCTAATAAGGACAACACAGAATGGCAGTTCTAAAGGTGACACTTCTGCCATGTCTTGGAGATTTTCCTGCTCTGTACTCTTTGGACATGATTGCAGCGACATAAGAAGACACAAGGCCATTCTATATCTAACAAGGTCGTGTGGACAGAGATGATAGAATGCTCGCATTTCTGAACTGTAGTGCCTGGCTGAAGGTCTCCAAAGCGCCCGTCTCCTTGTGGGGATAATCCAAAACTCCAAGAAACACTTTATTGTCTAAACAAGTATCATTTGGTGGTGATGGTGGTGAGTGGTGGGGAGAGTTGCTTTGCTTTAAAACAATCGAAGTTGAGGATCTGGCATGACAGCCTAGTGGCTAAAGTCCTCGCCTTGCACACACAAGGATCCCATAAGGTCGCTGGTTCATATCCTGGATGCCCTGCTTCCCATCCAGTTCCCTGCTGGTGGCCTGGGAAAGCAGTCGAAGAAGGGTCAAGAGGAAGAAGGCCAAAAACACCCACCATGTGTAAACATAGAAAAAGAAACATCTCAGAGGAGAGACTAACAAATTCACTTCTGTTTTTACAAGAAGCACAGAGCCACCGGTAGCGGCTGGCAAGACCCCAGCCACTCCCGTGCTCTCTGCTAGGGAGACCTCGCCACAGCTCAAGCCAGCCCAGGTGGCTCCAGGTCAGCTCTGAGCCCAGTGTATGTTACTACTTCCGACTGCGGAGTCACACCTGGAAAAACGAGAGCAGGCTTGCATGGGCGAGACAGACACAAAAAAACAGAAAGAAGCAAAAGATTGTTGCTGGAGGAGACAAAGAAGCGATGCGCGCGTGCGCACACACGCACACACACGCACACATGCACACACAACACCCCACAAGGGCAAGCACATCTGGCAGGCCCCACCTCCACACAGGGGCTTCTCGCCACTCACACTGCCTCTCTGTCCTGCCAGGGAACTGGAGCTAGATTCTGCGGATGTGCTTTCTCCTACGCTAACAGGCTAGCTTGCTTGCTTGCTTTCCCTTCGAGTGACTGATTCGGTCCTTTGTGTGGGCTGCTAACAACGCAGTGCTCTGAGCCCATGGCCAACAGGCTCAGGCTCTGTGGAGGGACAGGGGGAGCTGGCTGTGCCACGTGCCATCGGCACTGTGACGGTTTTGGAGCCAGTGAGCTGTTCCTGGCTCTCCTCCGGGTGTGGAGTCCAGCCTGCGATGAATATTCAGAAGTTGCTAAGAAAAACACCCCACGCTGAGTTTGGGGCTCAGGACGGGGGTCCTTGCTCAAACTCCCCTTTCCCTGCACAACTTTAGCATTTGGGTCCTGTCAGCCCTGCCCGGCCTCTCGGAGCTCAGAGGAACTGCACTGCTGCCCGTCTGCTGGCCCCTCCGACCCCCCACGGGCTTCCCTCTCGGTCCCCATGCCCCTCCTCCAAATGTGCACAAAAAAGCTCAAGGCCGGCCCATCTGTGATGGAGCAGAGGTCAGCCCAGGCCCTGGCCAAGGGGCCGCTCAGAGCGGCACTGGTGGGGCTGGCCACACAGTGGGATTTCTCTCTAATTGGAAGCCTGGTGGCCGGTAGAACCCGGTGAGGCGCCTGAGTGGGATGGCGCCAGCGATGACAGCCAGGCCGGGGCAAGCTGGAACGTGGTGGCACGGCGACAGCTTGAGCCGTTGCAGCAGAGGCAGCCCAGCCAACTCCCGGCTCGTGTCAGAACAGGTGGCCGGGGAGCCGGTTTGGGACAAACTTCAAAGAAATTCACGATTCTATCACTTCTGATGCATGCTCACAGACAAGGGCTTGATTATGTGGACAAAATAGGTTCTGGGTTTATTTGTTGTTGTTGTTGTTGTTGTTGTTCTCTTTCCCTTCTTCCTGGCCTCTTCCCCATCCTCTTTCTCCCTCACATACACAGTCCAAGGAAATCTAGTAAAAATGAAAAAGGTCTGAGAAATCCGCCTCTTGCATCACTTACAGGTGATGACTGAGATGTGGCCGCGTGGCAGGCAGCCCCAGGGTCTGCGATGTGGGCTGGTGAACCGGCTGACTTGGCTTCTAAAGCCGGACGCACAAAGCACAGAGAAGCGGGCTGAGAGGCTCCCTGCGCCTTGGTTTCTGCATCTGTAAAATGGAGCCTGTGGCCATGGCTGCTTCGGGTATAAGATGCAACTGTCCTTATCAAGCACCAGGTGCTGTGTTCTCTGCACATTGCATAGTCAGGAACTAGTCTGATTCATTTCACAGACACTGAAATAAACAACACACGGAGGGGACCGTGGGGCTCCATCTTCGTTCACTTGTTCGGTCCTGTGCAGTGTTGAGCATCTTGGTGGAAACGTGACACTAGCAAGGTGAAGCAGGTTCGCTAGCCGAAATCATCAAAAAGTGGACAGAGCCCATTCAGCATGGTGACAACCCTGAACCCTCTACTTCCTCCCGCCTGTGACACCTGCCACTGCTTTCTCAAACGGAACTGCCTCCTGGGATGCTTAGGAGGGAGCACACACAGCTACCTGGCTGGGGACACCTGCTACTCTGTGTGCTGCTGTCCTCGGAGTGCGGCAGCAACTATCAGCAGGCTGAGGCCCACTGCCCTCAGGTCCTGCAACTCCCCACCTTCCTACAAGGCCACAGGGAGCAGGACAGACCAAGGGCAGGCCCATTGAAATGTCCTGGAAACACTGCCCCACCACAAGAAGGTGGTGGGCCAAGCCCCTGGGACAGTCCCAGGAGAGGGAGAGGCACAGGTGCAATAGGAGAGTAGTGAGATGCTTGCATGCTGGGCACCGGCACCCTCACTTCTGTGCCCTCCATGTGAGCTGCTTGCAGGCTCTGTAAGCTGCCCATGTGCTCCACCCAGGTCCCAGGTAGTCACACCGTGGAGAAGCACCACATGCCTGCTTGATCACTGGTTCATTTGTTCATTCATTCATTTATTCTTTCACCCAGGAGAAAGGTACCATGTCATGTGATGTGAACACCAGCAACAACAGCAACAAAAAGACATGTGGCCCCAACTGCTATAAAGGACACACACACACAAATCTATAAGCTGTTTCCCAGTGAGAACACATACCAGACCCGAGATAACGAACTGGACTCCATGAGGGAAACAGCAGGAAGATCCTGCCGTTTCATGGTCTGGCAGCGAAAGCAACAGTGTGTGCAGTAGCAGGTGCAAACTCAATAGAAAACGGAGAAATGAGGACCCACCCTTCCTGCCTCTCTACAGGTAATCACCACTAACAGTTTCTTCCAGATCACAGCATGTGTGGCTGAGGCCAGACACCTGTGATCGGCATCCCTCTCAGATGCACTCTAACACATGTTTATTCTTTTAGGTCACTGTCTAGTTTTCTACGGCATGGGCATTCCACAGCACACTAATCCAGTCCAGAGAGGACACCACTGAAAGTACGAGGTGCAGGATAAGGAGTGAGGGAATGGTCAGAGCAGCTGTGGGGCGCAGGCGGAGCAGGACTAAGCCAGGTGCGGGGATAGTGTGTGTGAAGGCACCCCAGGGAAGGGAGAAGTCACACCGCAGTAGATGGGTGTGGTTACAGCACAGAGCCCTGGGGAGGGCATGGGGGAGGATGGGGCTGCAGCAGCCAGCTGTCCACTCCACACAAGGCCCCCTTCTGGGGCATGTCAGGGTGATCCAAGACAGACGATGCACAACGGCAGAGGGACGCTCTAGACACACACAGGAGTAATCAACCAGAAGACGAAGGAACACACAGGCCGCTGCCGGGCAGTCAACTCCAGGTAAGACTCACAGAACAGAGAGCTTCCCAAGGTGTCCTTCCATCACACCTTATGTGTGGCCCGGGGCAGATGCACTGCTTTGCAGGAGTGCAGGAAAGCTGCTCCAAGACCGCCTCCTTGCTGGTGAGCCAGCTGAAGAGGACACAGTCCAGGGGCTAGTGCCATGGTGCAGCCAGCTAATCCTCTGCCTGAGGTGCTGGCATCCCAAAGAGGCCCTGGTTCAAGTCCACTTCTGATCCAGCTCCCTGCTAATGTGCCTGGGAAAGCAGCAGAGGATGATCTAAGTGCTTGGGC